ATATATATATATATTTAAGTATATTTAATTTATATTTAAATATATTTAATTATTATTTAAATATATGTATATTTACAATAAAAATATATCATATAATACTGTGTGTCCTTCTGTCAGACTGTAACCTGTGTTACTGAAGAACCAGAAACCACCTCCTGTATCAAGGCCAAGCCAGAAACTTCTTTTGGCTAGCTGGTGGATTCCTGTTCACATTATCTTACAGAACTAGCCAAGATGAACAACAATTTTCTTTTCCTGGTCCTGGTACATCAGAAAACATTGCTGTGTCCTGCAGCATTTCTGAGAAGAGAGGGTGTGGAGTACTTTTAATGGCAATGCTATGGTCTGCCAAGCTACAATCTAGAAAGGCTTCACCTCCAGTGACCAAGTTTTGACCAGGGATTAGGTCAGGCCTTGACAAAACAAGCTCACAGGCTGGCTGTGCACACAGCCAGCACTCCTGGAAGGTCCCAAACAAAAGCTCTTCACCGTCCGGGGCCAGCCCCGAGAGGTCTCTGTGCAGATGCCATCGCTGTCTGCACGAACAGCGGAGGAGGAATCCTGCCTGGCCCACGGCAGCTCCTGCCCAGCTGCACCACTTCCATCCTGCTCTGCCATTGTCTCTTCCCCTGCCAACAGTCTTTGAGAACAGAGCTGGTTGTGGGTTTTAAAGCCTTCCATAGCAATAAAAGTCACAGGCAACATTTTCATAAGTGTTCAGGTTCTTCAGCTTTTTTTTCCTACTGCTGTTGCTGGTGAATTTACAGTCTGGTGTACACAGCTTCCAAAGGGTCTTCACTCATCAGTGTTCACTTGCTCAGGCTTGACCTGAAATCAGTCCTTAACCTGCCTGACACACAGTCCCATGCCCGCTGTTCAGTTCTGGCTGCACCTCACAGGCAGCTCCAGACTGGCCACTTACCGCGACGCCAGCGTGGTAACTCGTCCCACAGGCAATGAGGATCAGACGGCGGCACCGCTGGATCTCCTTGATGTGATCCTTCAGCCCACCAAGATTTACTGCAAGCAAGAATGGGAGAGAAAAATCAGGCAGGCCAGGGAGCAGAAATTCTCCAGATCACTGGCACCAACACCCAGCATGTCACCACCTCCAGCAAGCACTTCACAAACCTCACCAGCAACCTCCCCACCAGGAGCAGCAACCTCCCCACCAGCACTCCTGACTCTGGACATGCTCCCTGCAAGACATGCATCCTCCTACACCAGCATGTTTTACTTTTCCATGTCATCACCTCCTTCCTCCTCTCTAACTACTGTGAATAACCACTAGATACGTAGCTGTCAAAACTAAAGGAGGCTTAATCTCCATTACCAGTGTAGTCATCAAAGTTGACCCTTCCTCTCATCGTATTAACGACAGATTCTGGCTGTTCAAAAATTTCCTTCTGCATAAATGAGCTGAAGTTACCTATAAAACAAAGAACCAAAACAAATGAGAACACTTTTACATTTCCTTTTGGTAATTTACATTTTTTCTATGCATATAGGGAAAAGCTTGGACCACAGTGACCACCAGGACAGTTCCCAGTCAGAGATGATTAAGCTGACACTTCTTTTCCTGTCATGGCATCAGCTGATCATAAGAGCTACAGTCAGGTTACTAGGACGTGGCATAGAGGGTCAGACCCGGGCTGGCCACCCTGCTAGGGACTGATCTGGGGAAATGATGCCTCCAAGCAGGAACCAAAATCCCGAGCCCCACAGTTCTCCTCATTATGGTGTCAGCAGCAAAAGGGAAATTCCCATTAGATGCAAGGACAACTTTTTCACCATGAGGCTCTGAAGCACTGGGATAGGTGCTCAGGCAGTCTGTGGGGTACTTGTCCTTGGAGACACTCCCAACTCCACTAAACAAGACTCATTAACCCTCTGATCTACTCGACCCTGCTTTTAACACAGGGATTGGCCCAGAGGTCTTCTTCAACCTGACTTATTCTGTGACTGCAGTGAGGGCCCGTGCATCTACACAGGTGACCCCCAGAGGACTTTACCCTTCATGATTTGCTGAAGCTCCATCTGCAGGGTTTGGACAGCACGCCCCGGGTGGTCGCCGGCCGTGCGCTTAATGCGGTGGATGGAGAGGCGCCCGTCCACCACGGCTGCCACGTCGTCGTCCTCCAGGAAGATCACCCTGTTGGTGTGCTCGATGACAGCACTGTAAAACCACACCTTGGCCGTGAGACCTTCACAGACAGACAAGGGCTACAGCCCTGTTTATAATCCAACATACAGCTTTTGTTTCAGGAAAGTTCCTCATCTCAGTGGCATTTCTTTTAAACTCAGGCGAGTACTGTAAAGTTCATTTCCACACTGCCAGCCTAACTGGGTTCCTTCCACCAACCTCAAAACTTCAGTGCCTGCTTTAAGAAGAAACCGTGAACTCCTCAGACAAAGCAGCACACGCAGCAATGGGATCCAGTCGTTAGGAGCTAGTGAGTGGAAGTCAGGAAGAGAGTGCTGTGCCCCAGCACACAGTGCTCAGTCACCGCTGCCGGTTCCTCTCTCAGCCACTGCCCCTCCCTGCTTCTCATTCCCCACCTGTAACACTGGGGACAGCTTGGCCACCCCTTAAAGTACTTCGAGATCTGCTGAGAAGCAATCCCAAGAATCAGGTACTACCCTGCTTGTAGTTTGCTTGGGGAACGTCAGTACTGGAGTTAGCAGTGGGGTTTTAAATCTTTGGGCAGGTTTTAGGTCGTGCTCTCTCCCGGCTGAACAGGGCAAGGTGGACTGAAACACTGCAGCTCCCCATCGTAGTAGCTTTTGTTCTGACCTCGGGCAAGTCACTGAAAAGCTCTCTAAAATCAAACACATCAGGGTGTCCTAAGACTCCAAAATGCTCTGATGAGAAGAGTTGCAGGAGTCAACCATAGCCATACTTCCTGATTTCTGGAACAAGCACTCATTTCTAACACAGAAAAAAAAAATCAAAAGCTCTGGTAAGGCCTCTGCTAAGTCTTTCCTTCCCCCACTTCTAGACTTCTGCTAAGTCTTTCCCCGAGCCACCTTTGTTGATAAACGTGTGCAGAGGTCCCTGGACAATCATCACAATCCTCCTGATAATTAGCATCTGTCCTGTTAATTTAGGTCAGTGCTGTCTCAGGTTTCCTATCATCCACCTTGGAAATATGATCAATAAATGTGCTCGAAGGAGGAGGTCACCACGAGGCCAGAGAAGTGTTCACTCCTTAACACAAACTGCCATCTAACACATCTCTGTCTCTTCCAGGCCACGTATGGTACCTGGGTCACGTTTGCCAAGCAATGACCCTATATCCATAACCTAGTTATTCATAAAGAAACCACATTCTCCCCTCTCTTGTCCAAGGCTTTAACAGCATATTTTTAGATAGAGATCCTGGACACCATTACCTGGCATCTGAAGCAAAGTAGTACTCCACAGCCTTCTCCTCCACGGGGAAGAGGCAGGTGGTGCTGTCCACCCGGGCCAGGCTGCAGCTGCCCTTCTTGTCCTTCCCTGGAAGACACGAGGGTCAGGTCCTGCTCAGGTCTGGGGGCAGCTGCAGGGTCAGTCTCAGCCCGAGGTCCCCAGGCACAGTACCAACATGAAGCATTATTTTCCTCACTGTGGGGCTCACAGTAAATTTGACAGCACCAGCAGTGGGCAGCACTCATGTCAGTGTGCCCTTTCTCAGTTGGCTTGCAGTTTTTATGTGCTTTCTAATTAAGTCTACAAGAATAACATTAGTGCTGTGCTCTAAATTTAGAGAAAAATACCAGTAAAAACTCAAATGAAAGTTTCTTTGTGGCTCCATTAGGAGAAGATAACTCAAGCTGCTTTATAAGCAGTCACATTTACCAGCATTCTCCTGGTGGAATCTGCCCTGTTTATCATCTTAAGTTTCTCCTGTACTCCCGTTTCACTAACTTTCCTGAGGATTTGAGAAACTGCAGAACCATAGAATGGTTTGGGCTGGAAAGAACATCTCGTTCCAACCCCCCTGCCCTGGGCAGGGACACTTCCCACTAGACCAGGTTGCTCAGAGCCCCACCCCACCTGGCCATGAACACATCCAGTGTTGGAGCATCCACAGCTTTCCTGGACAACCTGGTTCTGTGTCTCTCCACCCTCCTAGTGAAGAACTTCTTCCTAATTTCTAATCTAAATCTCAGTCTGAAGCCACCACTCCTCATCCTATCACTACAAGCCCTTATGAAAAGTCCCTCCCAGCTTTCTTGTAGGCCCCCTTCAGATAGTGGAAAGCCACAAGAAGGTCTCCTGGAAGAATTCAGCAGG